TTTAAAAGAAGGATAGGTGAGGTGCTTAGGGACATGGTTTAGTGGTGGGATGGCAGGGTTAGGTTAAAGGTTGGACTCTATGATCTCAAAGGTCTTTTCCAACCAAAGTGATTCTATGAACTGTGAAGTACCAAATTAACCAGTTGCCAGTGTATCTTTTACCATAATTAGCACAGAATATTAAGAATTAGTCATGAGTATGAAGAAAAAACAAAACAAAGGCATGGCTTCAGGTTTACAAGCAATAACTAATGAGTTCTCAAACATGAAAAAAGCAATTACTTACTGTGTTGGTTAATAAGCATACGGAAAGAGATGCGGTTGGTGTAGAATCTATCTAGAAAATACTGGATGTTACTGCTAACAAATGGATCGAAGCCATATTTTTCCTTGTATTCAATCACCCCTTGCGCCATAGTTGGAACCACGTCATTGTGTCTGTTCCTGACTTTAATTAAAACATCTAAAAAGCTAGAGGAAACAAAATTAGAAACAGATTGTTACAAGTATAATTGAACTGAATCTCTCACCCCTGTTTTCAACTCCCCCAGCATAACCGTTTTATTTGTTTACTACCCCTCCCAGTCAACAAAAAACTATCAGAGGGCAAAGATAAAAATATAGCACTAGCTAAACAAACCCATTTAAAGAGACATATTTGGTCAACCTCTCACTCACGAGATCTGTGAAATATTTAGGGCCTCAAATTAAATTATTCCTCCCCAGAACACTCTTTTAAATTAAAATCTCTCTTTGCCATTAGTGGAGAACAAAAGATATTCTTTTATTGCAGTCATGTGCACCACGGCAACTCCCATCCTCTGCAACCAACAGTAGCTGGGAGATTGGAAAGGAAACTCAGTAAAAGCAACCTCACTGCCCTTCATGATTTCCTGAGAAGTTTTACACTTCATACTTTCTTTCCAATGCCTCAACCCATGCAGCGCAACTTCTGAACGCACTTCCTTTGCCTGGCATCTCTTCTGGTAAGTTTGAGCATCAGGCTAGGTAATTACCACCAGCGTGACTTCTCTTCAGTTTCCTTTTACACCACTGGATGGCAGAGTGCATACAACGGTGCTCTGACAGGCTCTGCCCTATGGCAACTCAGTAAGTTTTAGGATATGGCTTCCATTGCTTTTAACAAGCACCTGTTAACAAGCACTCACCCACTGTGAAACAGCTTGGAGGATTCTGGTTTCTTACTAGACACGGAAAAATCAGTTACTCAACTCTGCTGCATTCTCTAATATTAAATTAATATTAACACTACAATGATTACATGATGTTGTTTAAAAAAGCGCACACAGTGAAACGCAGCTTTCAAAAGGAAGCACAGCTGGGAGACTCGTTCAGCTACGCCTTTATCTGCAATTCTACAGATCCTTTTAAAACAAATATCAACAGCAAAACATTCTCAGTAATTTTTAACAAACACTGAAATGTATTAATTGTTTTTATCAAAAGTAGAATATACACCATCTAAAGAAGGAACCATAGAATAGTTTGGGTTGGAAGGGACCTTTGAAGGTCATCTAGTCCAACCCCCCTGCAGTGAGCAGGGGAAAGAACATTCAGACCTCCAGAAGTAAAAAAGACTACCAACTAGTCACTCCATTTAAAGCGGATGCTTCCTTCCTTTTCATAACCACTTAGCCAAGATAATCATTTGATAGTACACCATACCACTCTTAAGTAACACGCTTTTAACATGGTTTCTCCCACTCTATGCTGCCAGCTCCAAAGCAATGTAGGATTCATTTTTAATAGTTTTTTCATCACCCTCAGTCTAACCACCAGGTTTTGCCTGTATGTTAACAAACAGTTCAGCAGCCTTGCACCACTATTTTGTTGCACAGAAAAGGGGAAGCTTCAACTGCCTAATTTCCCAGTCTAAATACTGTCACAGTACAGAATAGACTGTTCTCTTACTTACCAATCTTGCTGACTGGACAGCATAAAATATTTTAATGTTTAAAAGGTTTGTAGACTCTTTGTATGTTTATTAAGTCTTGAGCCCGTGTGATCTGTCGTCACTGAGGTCTGATGGCAGTTTGAGACAAGACTAGTGCCTGTCTGTACTCATGCTGCTTTTTTGTTTCAGAGCACCAAGACACTAGCTAAAAATGGAGCTGAGAAGCAACACTTAAAATCACATCTGAAAGGCAACTGACACTCTCTACTAACTCCTATTTGCTGACAGCTTTGCTATTTGTTTTTAAATACCTCCATTATCCACAATATATACAACACGATGCCTACATGCTCCACGAGGACAAACTGCTCGACTGTAGGTCCCACTACCAAAGTGCTTTTTAAATGCAGAGAGCATGCCAAAGGGCAGCCAAAGGGCGAGGAGGTTTATCTGCTACAGACCAGCAAATCGTAACTGAAGCTTAGTGTGCAAATACACAGAATAAAAGGATTCTTCATTACAGCAGTGCTATGACAAACCCCCCATTCCATCTTCAAAGATAATCAAGTTCACCCCAGTGTTTCCATCAAGCAGATGCTTTTAAAGGACCAAACACATGAAGTATACAGGCACGTTTCAAAGCAGCAGGACACAAATCAAAACACATTTCCTTAATCTTGCCACTCATTCCTTACCACCCCCCCAACCCACATCCCCCTGAAAGACACGAAACTTTTACCGTACTTAAATTGTGGGACACCATATAAAGGGATTTTTTTAATGCTCATGGGATTTAGCTGGGGGAATACTCCAGAAGACCTCTGAAAATTTTACTTGGCAATGACTGTTTTTTCAAAATTCAGTGTATTGGATTTTCAAAACCACGATGAATAAATAATGCAGTTGGTTTGACAGATGAGAAATTATTAATATGAAACTATTTTAGTCAAGTGAGCTTAAGTGGCTTCTGTATTAACAAAAGAATATTTAAGGCATTACCATTGCTGTTAAATAAATTAAGCCTATAGACTTCTGCAAAGACAATTAATGAATGTCACAACACGTTATTGTTTAACTCCCTAATGACTGTATATATTATTCTGTTTTGATCTAGCATTACAGTGCAAGAAAAAAAGTCATACAAAAGTCAATATAAAGACAAAGGGAATTTTTGCCATGTCTCTTTTATGGATAGTATTATCTGAAAGATTAAAGACAAGAAAGTGATGAGTAGACTGAAAAAAGGTCCTTTTAAATGGAGCAGACATGCAATGAGGTTTTGGGTTTTTTTGACTGGCTGCGCTTTTTTAAAGAAGTGCTAGCTGGTAGCTGAGAATCACCAGAAAGACAGGTAAAAGTTCACGCTCTGAAAGATTTCTCTACTAGAAAGTGTAGATACTTCTGAAGTGGGAGACTAACTGAAGTAGTATTTCACATTGCTTTAAAGTAACAAAATGGCACCTTCTCAATCAAACCTACTCCAGTATTTACTTATTTCAAATTGCTAACAATCACTATTTTAATCTCAGTGTTGCAGAAAGGAAAGTTACTTCTTGTTTACTAAGTTTCTTGGGTGTGTGTTATCTCTAGACATACTGGCAGCTCACTACTTCAGTTGCTCTCAGTTCCAGGGCACCGCCCCACACACCCTCCCTCCGGAGTGCCACGAAGAGAATAATCAGGAAAGAAACTCATGGGTATAGGGGGTAAAGTAAGTGTTCTTTGAAAGTACATGTGAACAGCATGTTTTACAAACCCTTCAATTTTTTAAAAACAACATCTGCCTCTGTGTGTTCATCCATATGCATATTGACACCATAGGAAATTTCCAACGCTTACGCCAGCTTGCACCCTCTACCAAGCATGGACACCTTATCTTAACACTCCTGAAATCACACTGTTTGACAGAACTGTAGAAAGACCTCCACCTGACTGCTCTGCAACTTGAGGAAAGATATTTGCATTATCAAAAATGCAAAAGTAACCTGACCTTTTGGCATACACCCACACTACTGACAATGACAGTAGCATGGCAACGTTGTACTAAGTCTTCATAAGGTCTGCTAACCAACAGAACATAATAAACAAACTGAAGCACTTCTGAACCTCTTCATCACAGAAACACTGAGAAAAAAATTCCTTTAAAGGATTTTATCCAACGTTCATAAAAAGGTAACACCCATGAACATTCATCCATCCTCAAATTCACACACTAAGAGCAGGGAGAAGTTGTGCCGCTCTGAAATACATAAGCTTCAGTTTGGTCTCTGCACTTACTCCCAACTGTTCACCCTCTCTGTTGCGTTGGCATTGCTGTCTGCCTTTGTAGGCCAGACAGTGTAACAGTTTAGGGACCACAGGGCTGAAAGTGGGCTATTTTTCCACTAGAGTCATTTCCCAATTCACTGCATGGCTTCATAGACAGCTGTGCCAGTACATGGATAACATCTATACTCCTATAACACTCATACATAAAATGGTTTCCTCAGAAAGAGAGCCCGAATTCTGAGAATATCAGAATTCCCTGACAAGCAGACATATAATAGAAATGGTCTGGGGGCAGTTTTATTTTCAACTGAACAAGTAATTTCCACCACTTTAGAAAGCACTAATTGAAGAACTACTGCCAACATTAATACAGCACACCTGTGGATACTGAACCTCTTCAAAAGACAATTCTAGCTCCCCTTCTCTCCTGGGCTATTGTTACCTTGATGAGCCATAACAGAGACTGAAGTCCATCTCAGCTGACAAAAAGACCACTACTCATTCAATTTCCAAGAATCAACTGCTCTGCAAGTCTTCATGGTTTTGGAGTACTCAGGTGGGACACCACATTCAGCTCCAAACAAAAGGTGCTGGGGTGGTACTGGGGCAGAATTACTTCCATCCAGGCAAGTCTCGCATTTTGTGATACTGATTAAGCTAAAGGAAGATGAGATGGGGGCCATCATAAAATGTGTAAGCCATTGATACCACACAGGGCACTAATGAGGATGGACATTACAATGACTAAAGGATGCAAGATTGGGTCTTCTGTAATATGAAGTATATCATATTAATATGCATTATGCATGCTTCTACAGCACACTCAATGCAGGAACAAGACAGATGAGAGGAACAGAGAGATGAAGCATGCTCCAACCCCTCTTCACATGTTATTATGTGCAAGGTACTCAGAGAGATACACCGCAGATACTACCAGGACAAGAAAGGCTCTGGTTCAAAGGACCAGGCATACCTTATAGAGTGAACTTCCACATGCCCTTCTCTAAGCAAACCAATTTGGTTGAAGAAAAGTATTATTCCTATTCATGCATCCCTAAAGACCCCACCCACAAAGTCCCAGATAATGTCTCAAATTCTGTATTAAATGATAAATGCAATTACAAAAGAATATTAAAGTGTTATGTAAACGTAAATGAACTCAGATTGATTCAGTTTCTTTTTTCCCCAATGAAAAGTAGTTCATTAACTACGAGAGTTCCTGATATTTCTCCTCTGACTGTAAGGCCTGAAAGTAGGATAGGGCTGGGCAGCAGCAACATGGAATACTGGCAGAGAAGTTGAGAAATTTGTTACATTTATCTGTAGCTTATTACAAGATAAATACAGATATAGTTAAGAGTATTTTTGAAAGACATAGTTTGCAAAGAATACCAAAATAATTGCTAATTACAGCTCAGTATCTAGTTAAATAGCACAGCCTTCAGAAAGTTAGGAATGGATAACATGCAAAGAGCAGGAAAGTAAACCTGATTTTTTAATCTTAAGTAGCCTACACAATACTGGTCAAGAATAAAAAAATTGCTCTTTAATCAGATAATGCGTCTTTCATCTCTTTTCACAGGCCAAACTCAGTATAAAAGATGACTCTTACTGTCAAATTCCCTAGCTGGACGTCACCTCAGTAGGTAGCAAAAAATTCCCAACATCCTTATTATATGTACTTAATTACACATAAAACAATAATGGCAAGATTTCAAAGATTTTAACAAACAGTTACAGTGAAAGAGTAAATATTTGGTTCATCATCAAATACTTGGTATATCATACTAATACAGAGCATCTCAAACAGTATTTCCAATTGCCATGAAACAATATCAAGAATGTGTGTTATCCCTATGGCAGAATCAGATAATTCATTTGGTAATTATGAACAGATTCTAAAAACAGATGTCCAAGAAAACTGTTCAAACATATATATATATATATTATATAGCTATCTACCTTGAACCTCTGAAGTCCATAAAAAGCTGAAATTCAGTTACCTAAATACAGAACATCTAAGATGGTACCAGAAGCTACATAACCACCTTGTCTCCACCTGCACATCCAGGACATTATAGGCTCGACGGGACCTGTGTTACACTTGCCAGGTTCACTCAGCTGTACAGGACACCTTATGTCATCTCAAAAGGCAACAGACACCGAAGTTTTGGTAACTTAATCCCACTCAAAATGTTCTTCTAAGACAAGCAGTAGGAAAACTTACTGCTAAACTAGTCACAGAAATTCTTGTCCCATCAGGAAACAGGCTGTGAATACAGAATCACAGAATGTAACACCTAGAGGTAGTCGAAAAGTTCATCTAATTTATCCACTACAGAATGAGCGTGCCTAGAATATCACTGAAAGCTATCTAATCTATTCTTAAAAGCTTTTAAAATGGGATGCTCTACAGCCTTCTGAAATGGTCTTTTTCCCATCTGTTCTTATTAATATTAAAATTTGTACCTTTTGCCCTGTATGTAATCTCAATTTTAATAAAAATCAGCTGTTTTTTAATTGTCCACTTCTTCACTTAGAGCAACCAATCATCCTTTATTACAGTGACTTTTTTTTGGCACACTCAGACTTCCAGTGCCTCGCACTTCAAACTCTTTTTTGCCCGTCTAAACAAATGCCTTCAACATTATTCAGAAGTAGGATTATCCAACGCTCTAATTCTTGTTCCTTTTACATCAATACTGTCCATGTGTGTTTTAATTTCTTAATAGGTAGTACCCATAGCTGAAGACAGTATTCCAGCTTAGGACTCGCATTGAGAATACAGTTAGTTCTCCCTTGTTCAGTAGCACTACAATTCACTCAGTCAGTCTATAATCCTTACGGCTCCTTCTACAGTTCTGCCATGCAGGGCATTTGGTACTCATGCACTTCAGTTTCTCCTGCATGTATTGCTTGATACTTAAAAAATAAAGTGTAAGATCTCAGATAACATGCCCACAACCAAAAGAGCATAACATCTAAAATGCATTACCTAACACAATCCTTACTTAACCTAACATAACATAGCAGTTAATGTATCTGAAACTAACTTAAGACAAAACACCACTTTTGAACAGCACAGGCCACACCTTGCACAAACAGAGCATTTCTTGGACTGCAAGATGTTTTTTGGAACACTTCTGTAAAGCACTGCTTGATCAAGCAAGATTTCCAGAGCTTAAAAAGAAATTCAAGTTTAAAAGACAAGCTACCCCAAGAAAACTAATCAACGGAACAAAAAATCTGCACAAAGTAATCTCTTGAAACAAAGTTGACTGCTATACAGTACAGGATAACCATAGACCTTAGTGTCGGGGAGGAGGGTTTTTTTTGGTTTTAAGTCTCTGATGCACCTATTGTTCTCACATGTGGAGGTTTTTTTCTGGTTTATACATCCAAATTTCAAGGAAACATTCTAATGACAATTGTAATATGATTTTATTGATAAAGAAAATTGGCTAAGCTTTTCTTTCTTCTCAAAACATAGGTAATATTATTCAGTGAGGTAGGTGAACACCAATAACTGAAGCCCATTAAAAAAAACTTTCAGATTAAAACCATGACTAACACATTGAATGTATTCAAACTGAAAAATTCAAGGTATTAATGTGTTTATATACATTATATACAACATAGTACTAAGCCCAGTGTATACTAAAAGACATTTTAGTCCTAAGTATTTGATGTGCAAGTATATTCTCACATGCATGTTACCTTCCCAATACAGCCTTGAAGGAAGCATTTCATGTCATTTCTTAAACTATCACACTGTATACATGCAAAATATATTGTTCAAAAGCACTCAGATTCTTATATTCTGTTCCAAATTACACTTTTGGCCTTTGCTGCACAAATTCTACCTTACAAACAAGATCACTGTTATCCTATAGTACCACTTGTTTTTTTAAGACAGATTATTTTAAAATGAACTGTCACAAGAAAACAAATTACTCACTCATCCAGAACATGAGGATCCTCAGGACTTTTATTTTCATATTCTAAAAGCTCAAGGAAACTCTGCATGTACCTGAAATAAGCAAAAATTATAAAGAAGGAGTTAAAATACTTAAACCTAAATTACTTTTGAGGGTTTTTTAAGTCTTAAGACTACAACCTCATCTGAAACAACAGAAGCATAGTGCACAGTTCTCTACAAAGGCTAAAATGAAGTGGGACGCTGCAACAAAGGGAAAGAAAGAAACTACAAAATATTACATTGAGTTTAAAAGTATTATTTATGACCCTACAGTCCACAACTCAGGAAAACTGCTATATATATCAAGCTGAAGTTAACAGAAGCAAACGCTATCTTCAGGTAGGTCTGATTTCAGGTAATTTAGTTCATCCCTGGATCTAGACTTCCTGGTCACTGACTTTGTACAGATGTTAGTTTGCTCCCACATGCCTCAGAAAGTGATCAAACCTTCCTTCCAAAATAAAGCCACAATAATAAAGTGTTCCAGAGAACACTCCCCAAAACCCATGCTAACAGGACTGCACCAAGCTGATCCTACCACAGTGCTCCAGAAAAGTATGCCCCTTCACACAGGCCCACATCTCCTCACATTGTACCTCAGGCCACGTGACACAACCCTCAGTTTCATAAAAACCACCACCTTACACAACACAGCTCTCTCTAGTTCAGACATTCAGCACGCAGTGAGATATTAACTGGGGCTTAGAGCCACAGAGGTACCACACAGGACCCAAAGAAGATTTAAGGCAAAGCACCACTCAACACGAACACAGCCAGCCTGCTCTGCAGGAAACCTGCCCAACACCAATATAAATGCCACCACCTCACACACCACTAGGCCTGAGGACCAGGTATCACCCCACGAAGCAGGTGCATTTAGCAGTATAGATGTAGCTTTACAGATTCCAGAATTGGGACCTGTTTCTTGAAGTAAATCACGCAAGGTATCAATCACACACATAAAAGGTAGGGTTTCAATGTTACCAGAAGGAGCTGCCATTGCTCTCCCTTTTGTCCTCCCTTGGCTCCTGGTTAAGCACTGCCACTTGCACTATGATAACATCAATGCTAATGTCAACAGCTGTAACTCCCTGCAATCCAGCCAGATAGGTTTGTTTGGTTTTTCTAATCGTTCTCACACATGAAAACAACTCATAGAAAGGTCTAACCGGCTAAAGCTAGCACAAGAGAGAAAAGATAACCATAAAGCCCATGTAAGGAAAAAGCAAAACAAGTGACGAAGCCTTTCCCCTTTCAGTAGTAGCAACTCATTAGATTAGCTCAACAGAATGGCCTGTGCGCAAGTGCCTGTGAGACTGACCCCAGCCACTGAGGCCTGGACAACTTCACATTACAAGAAAACCTCTTTTGGTAGCAGTTCTATGTTAAGATCAGTTTAAGCAGGCTACGAAACTTCACCTTACATCTTCAAGCTACAGCAAAGCTTAAGACAGCACTGCCATCTACATGACTCCCTCCAGAACCACATGCTGCTGCTCCACTCCCCCATTTCAGCACAGCCATCACAGGTCACTGCAACATTTCTCCAGGGAGACTAACATTTTTGACATGGTCAGCACAGTAACACTAGCTCCTGTCCCTCTGTGTGGCTTTGCTCTCCTGCAATCATCACAAATGTCTACAGAAATCCCCCAAATGTTTGTCAGTTACAAGTCTGGGAAGTAGCTGATGTCTCTAGTACTGCTTATTTTAAAACATATTCTTTTACACCACTAAGAGATAGTACCAGTTTAGAACAACCATCACACCATGCTCCCAGAAATTCAAGAAGTTGCCTGGGGTCACTTCAGGGAACAGGCAGTAACTGAAGGAGCCATAGCCCACTATCCACTGAAGATGAATTCGTGAAAAGTGCAACATTCAGCAGTTAGAAAGATGCTGAAGCGGTTCTAACTATGCAGGGACAGCATACATGACATGGAGTATAGAGAGGCAGGGGAAGAATCATCAGGACTGTCAGCTGGAGGAGGGACTGAGCTTCTGGCAGAAGGAATGAGAACTAATCTGCTTTGAGAATGTGTCCTTACAAGCACTTCCCCTTTTATTAATTATCACTGGAAAAAGCCGCTTTACTCTCTCAACTCGGCCACTTCACCTGCAAGACTTAACACATAACAAATTACAAAACAAAGGAGTGACGGTGATCAAAGAGGTACGTGTTCTTTAACATCATCTGCCTCGTATGAACCAGGGTCAATCAAGTCAACCATGGGTACAAGATGGGAAAAAAAGGTACCATTATTACAGTGAGCAAAACACAGTAATAAATAATCAGCAAAGGAACTCCAAAATGAAGTATGGGAAAGTGGTGGACAAGCCACTGAGGAAATTCAGGGCATCGTCAGTTTGGCTCTATGGAGGCAATAAGATGACCTTTTGACTTCTCGCCAAGCCAGGCAATGTCATGCAGAAGCAATACTTAAGACCCATTCCTGTGCCCAATTTTGCTTTGGCTCTAGTAAATACATGACACTCCACAACCAGTCTTTGCTACCTCCTTCACCATTTCCTTGAGGGGTGATGAGAACATATCTAAGTCATTCAATTCATAATTGTCTCAAAGAGGAAACTGACTTTCTGGACTTTTTCTGTGAATAGAGAAAAGGATATCGTTCATGTGGCATCCTTTTCTTACAAATACATTTAAGAATGAAAAAGGCCACGTAACTTAAGACCACCAGCATTGTCACATTGGACTAGTTCCCTCATGCTGTGGGTTGTATATAACAAGAAAGCTAAGATCTTCCTTTGTAATTAAATAAATATTTGCTGTCTTAAATTTGTCTGTGTAGTAAAAGGAAATCAGGCAAAATACTTAATTGATTCCACAGAGAAAACCAATCTTCCCCCAAAATACCTGCATGATTTCTGTGAAGGAGTCTTATTCTATTCCTCAAATACACGTTGATCTCTTGCCACTCAATGACTGTGTCTATGGTAGCATTTTTATTTTCAAATCTAAACCTGCGGTATGGTTTTGAAATGAACGACCCAACAATCTTCACGTAATCTATACTGCTTATATTTGCAAAGTGGTTTTGGCACTTCTGAGAAGAACCTGATCTTCTCAGAAGAAACTAAACTGGAAGCTGCTGGAGATGTGCATCAAATGTATGAAATCCAAGGTAGCCATCGTGACCTGAACCAATGAGTGGGCCAAAACGCTATGATTTCTCCAGCACAGCCACAACACATGCTGGGAGGCAGACTACGGCCTGTCACAGGTACCCCCCACACTGTAAAGTGTTTCTCATATTACATGAAAGACAAAATGCTGTACGCGTCAGCAAGTTTTCCAACAAGCACTCCTCTATTCTTCATGCTCACCTCTCCCATCCTTTCAAACCTTGCTCCTGCTTTGAAATCCTTTCCCTTCCTACTTTAATTTCTGTTGCCATCCTCCCTGTTTTGTGGAGGCCTTTATTTTTTTTTTCCCCTTGCCTTCTCTTTGGTTTTCCCCACACCCCCAGGCCAATCTTCTGTGCTCATTTTTATAAAGGCCACAACAGCCCTTTCTGCCTCGCAGAACACCCATGGCTGCAAGCCAGCTTTCCAGGGGAATTCAGAATCACAGAATCATTTAGGTTTGGAAGAGATCCCTTGAAATCATCTAGTTCAACCTCCCTACCCAAGCAAGGTCAGTTAGAGCATGCTGTCTAGGGCCGTGTCTGGTTGGGTTTTGAATATTTCCACAGATGGACATTCCGCGGCCTCTTTGGGCATCCTTTTCATGGTGTTTGATTACCCTCACTGTAAAAAAAGGGGGTTTTTGTGTTCAGATGGAATTTCATGTGCTTTAATTTGTATTAATTGCCTCTTGTCCTGTTACTGAGCGCTACTGAAAAAAGTCTGGCTCCCTCATCTTCATTCTCTCCCACTTATACACATTGATAATATCTGCCTGTCCACCCAAGCCTGCTCTTCTTCAGGCTGAGGAGTCCAGACAGCCTGCTGAATATGTCTAAGGAGATATTCAGCTCTCTCAGCTTCTTCCCACATGAAAGATACTTCAATAAATCTGTGCCATGAAAGAAGTGACAGCTTCTCTCATGGCAAAGTAAGTTAGAGAAGGTTATAAGGAAGCTGCTCACCACCATCTGTCGTCATATAATATTATGAAAGTCCTGTTTCTGAAGATTCAGGACAACAACCACCACACTTGAGAAGCAACACAGCAGGTACTTTTTACTACAGACCTCCTACCAGAAATCTCAAACATCAGCAATGCTGTGCTGATGCTGAGAATAAACCAGCAATGAGCATTTCTGGTACTGAAGGTAGCTGATATGGTTTTTGTGCTGTGTGGATTTGACTGGTTGCCTACCATTACTCGTATGCTGTATTGAGATTCGTGCTCTCTGTTAGTTTATTGGGACATTGGTCCTAAGAGTGCAGCCCCTGGAATAATCAAACATCACTACTCCTGTGTTGAAGGATCAGCACATTTACTAGAGTACCAGGCAGGGGAGCAAGCCAAGTGTTTCTCTCATCTCACGCAGGAAGTAATTGTGCAGAAAACTGTCTCAGTCAGAAAAAGACTAAAGCAGGTCTCAATCAGAAAAAAGCTGCCAAACATGGTCACCAGTCTTCAGTGCAACCAGCAGGCAGAACAGCTTCTGAGGTCATTACACTGCAACTCAACATAGCACCAATGAGGAACTGAGAGTTTCTGGAACAAAGGAAAATTACACAAACTAAATGCTCTAAGGAAATTTATAAATGTGCTAAAGTAATTTCTCCTTAATCCCTGTGGTGATGGAGAAACTATGGAAACAGGCAATGCTTTTCCTTTAGATAGTTAACAACAATATTTAGAGGTCTCTTTCTGATGCTAATGTAAATTGATATAACTTTAGAAGTCAAGTTCATTAGCACAAGCATTGTATCCAGCAAGTTAGAGGGACCAGCTCAGAGAAAAGGTTATTAACTTCAAATCTAAGTTACTGAAACTTCTTCCATCACTTCTACTATTTCTTCCAATCCCTGGACTAAATGAAACTAGAATAAAGTAATCTTTCATCAAACAAATC